CCCCCCCCCCCCCCCCCCCCCAGACTGTGTGCAGGCCAGGTTGCCCTTCCCTGGGGCCTCTGCAGCCCAATGGGTGTGACACGGTGCTGCAAAGAACAGCTGGGCCACACAGGAAAGCTGCTGCTAGCTCTGCATTGCCCTGGAGAGCTGTCCCCCGCGCACAACCCAATGCTGCACAGGGGATATGTTGCCAGGGCAGCGCAGAGCTTGCAGCAGCAAGCAACTTTCCTTCATGGCCCCGCTGTTCTTTGCAGCACTAGGTTGCACCCACTAGGCTATGGAGGCCCTGGGGAAAGGCAACAGGGTGGGAACCCAAGCCTGCAGCGTGCATGCACCTCCATTCCATGTACAAATCTGGGGGCGTGGGTTTCCCCTGCCCCCCAGGAGTGTGCACAGTGGTTGGGAACCACCCCCCTGCCTGAGGCCCGCAGCAAACAGGCAGCAGAGGGGAGCTGGGCTCCTCTCTCCTGCAGCAGTTGCTACCTCCTGCTGTGGGCAGGGGATTGAGGACCCAGGTACCTGGCCCTGTGGCCCTGGCAGCTGGGGGCCCCCTCCGGCAGGGCTGGGGGAGCAAGGAGTTGTGAGTGGGGGGCAAGTGCCACAATCAAGGCTGGGAGGGAATGTGGGGGGGAGTGAGGGGCACCAGCAGGGCCAGGGAGCTGTGGGGGGGGGCAGGGCTTTAATTTTTTAATCATGGTTTTGTGCAGTTTTATTAGAGAAATTGCAATTTTGTTTGTTTGTTTGTTTTTATTTGCTTATTTATTTTATCAGAGAATTTGTGATTTATTTATCAGGGAAAACCAGGATCCCTGCATTATGTTTAACGTAACACTGGGTATTTCTAATTTGCTGCTTTAGCATCAGCCATTTATATTAATGGATTTTAAATCCTTAAAATGAAAAAAAAACCCAAACAAGAGAATTCTTTCTGTACCCTAAACATTAAAATTCTATGTAACTTTAATTTGTATGGCCCTTTCTTCATAAATGTTTAATATAATTATGCTGGATATGCTCCTAATGAAGTCATTGGTAGTTTTTATGTTGACTTCAAAAGAAACAGAATTGAGCCCTGTGTGACTATAACAACATGTTGTAGTGTTTGTTTATAGATATGAGATCATTAGCCTCCTAATTGAAAGCAGAGTGGAAGAAGTTTTTTGGTTCTTTTCAGATTGATTGTATTTTCCCATCTTTGCTGTTGCATTGTTTAGCTGTGACTAATAAGTTTGTTGTATGTCACCTTTCTCATTCATTTAGAAACTTATCTCTCAATGTACTTTTATTTTCATGTAGTTTAAAAAAAACAGCAGGTCCTAGATTCCATCTTATTTGAAAGGAAACCAGCGCTTCTCTAAAGCACCCAGTTAGCTACCTAGGCCAGAAAGGTACCTAAGTATAAAGTTTGTAGAGCTCAGGCCGGTCAGGTTGACTTTATGTGGTCTGGAGAAATTGCTGAGGCAAATCAAGCCCTTTAACCTGGATACCTTGTTACTGGACCTTCTTGCTTTCAGTGTTGGATTTATCACAGTTCTTCAAGTTTATGATGTATGGCTAGTATAGGCTTATAGTGTTATTTTGTTCACTGGTCCCTGTTAGGCAACATGTTTGCCCTTCATGTTGTCGTTGTCTGGAAGGAGAGGGCCACCCCAGTTACTACTACAAGTTCCCTTTCTTTGCCTATAGGTACAAGTTAGAGGTAATTTCACTGTTTTTAGTCCTCAGTGCAACCTTTGATCATTGTATAGATACTTCTATATCAAATTGCCCGTTCTATGCACTCAGTTCTTCTCTGCTCCATTTTCCTGTGTTTCTGAGTACTTGAGTTTTTCTGCATAGGGGAATTATTTTTCCTTTGGTCAATATGATTTGCTGGACTGGTGGTTTCTCTATAACAGATCATTAATTTAGTAAGAAATTTATCTTCAAAGTAACCATATTTTTGAAATATGGAAGTCATATTTTTGAAAATCTCATGACATCATTTGAGAGTCTTAAGATTGATTTTTTCAAAAGTACAGCCCAGTAACATGTGGACATGTGAGAGTGAACGCTGGACTCTTATAGTTGTAAAATAAGTCATGTAATTTTTACTGCATTTTATTTAATTGAATATCTGTCACCATTAAATTAACTGTTTTTAAAATAATCAGATTTACATAATCGCAATATTAACATACATTAAAATGGTCATTTTTATCTTCCATGCCTCATTAACATAACAATTTTTGCTTAAAGTATTATTGGAATTGAAGTTTTTACTGGAACTAAAACACTGAAAGGTATTTGTAAAAAATGATATAAGCATGAATTGAATATCAGGCACCTGCTTTTGCGCTGGTACTCCTATTTCACATGTATGCATATTTCATTATTGGTGGTTATGTGCCCAGTATACCTAGACATATTTTGGTCATCAGTGCTTCACTGAAAGCAGCAATCAAGAGAACCCATCAATTTTTGCATTAATTGTTTTTCAGGGACATCCGCATGATGAAATAGGATCATACTTAGACATCTAGTAGGTAAAATAAGATGGGTTTCTTAAATTGTTCATAGGTAAACTCAGGTATAGAAATACAAATTTTTGTAGAATTTTCATTTTTTCTTGTTAAGAAGTTCAGTTTTGTCATTTGACTCTCTGGCAGAGTACATCAGTAATGCCAGTATAACAATTTGGAATAATCTGTTCTGGATGCTAATGTGCCATATTTACTCAAATACAAGTTGAACCTGAATTTAAGATGACCCTCCCAATAATTAGATTCTATATTCAGGTTTCCCTCGATTTATGCGGGTTCTTTATATGCAAATTTGCTCTTAGGCGATGCACATATTTAGACCCATAATTCATTATATGTGAGGTAAATTCGCTCTTATGCGATCAACATAGATGCCTCCCTGCCCAAGCAGGGAGGGGAAAGAGCTGTGGACCCATTCACCCCTGCCCTGGCTGCAGCGGCTCTGGGAGCAGCCAACACCAGCTGACTGCACCATGGCATGGCACAGCCCAGGAGCAGAGGTGAATGGGGACAGGCAGAGCATGGTGGAGCTCAGTGGCTGCAGGCAGCTGGCGCCGGCCACTCCTAGGGCCGCTGCAGCCGGGGCTGTGGTGAGTGCCGTTCTGTTCCCTCTGCTTTGCTGCCTTGTGCAGCCCCAGGAGCGGCACCCCACCCCACACCTTCCCTTCTCCCCACCTCCCTCCCTCCCTCACCGCCATGGGAACCTATCCCTATTTATTATGTTGTAAAGTGGGATTGCTTTATGCAAATTTGATTTATACGCCATTCTCCAGGAACGCATGTACAGCATAAATCAAAGGAAACCTGTAAGGAAAATATGTAAATTTATTATAGTCTTCCAGGTATAGAATCTGATTATTTGAGGGTTGTCTTAAATTTGTCTCTGCCCTCTCCTCCCTGCTATAGCAGGGAAAACTGCTGAGGGGAGGGGGGTCAGGTGGTTCCCTTGCCCTGTGCCCTACCATATTTCTTCCCCTTGCAGCCATTCTGCATCACCCCCCAC